GAATATATTGTCTATTCATATGGAAAATTTAATAATTATTTCTAGATTTCAGCTTTTGCATTGAGGAAAAGATTTGATTAATTCACATTTGTTCTTTACAGTAATGTTTTGGCTATGGACAGTGAATCAGTTACTTTCAAAACTAACTTTTAAAGCTTTCTGAACTACTGCATGTTAATACTTGAGACTGAAACCCCGTGTTGTTCTTATGCAGGAAGATATTAAGTCCCTTATTGCACATATAGTTGAAAACTTTTATAATGCACTTGAATCTATCGAATATGTTCAGACATTCAAGGGACTGAAGACAAAATATGAGCAAGAAAAAGACCGACAAAACCAGAAACTGAACAGGTACAACCCAGTTTGTGTATTTTGAGACTTTATGCTGTTTTGTGTTCTCTTTCTGCTGCTGGTTGGGTTTTTTCTTCCTAGAGGACAGAAAAAGCAGAGGGCTGAGGTTGGGGTTGGTTTTGATTCTTGATGAAAACTTCTTCAATTAGAGTAAACCCCCATCTGACTTCCCTTGTGACCTGCTGTAGTACAGTTCATGTTTGTCAGTACATTAAATGTTACATTCAGAAAACTCTCTGCTTATGAAGAGCAGAATCTTCTTGTGTCACCCAGAGCTAGGATTCAGTCAGCCTTACTGTCAGCTGGGCTTCTGGTGGAGCTCCCACTGACGGCAGAACCAGGGACGGGGCTGCGCTGCCTTCTCAAGCACACTGAATTCACTCTGAAGTGTCAGGATTCTGCCATTTCTGATCCTGGCCAAGTCCAAAACAGCAGGAAAACTTGAACCACGTGTCATGTGTCTCTTACAGTGTTCCATCTATATTGCGTAGCAATAGATTTCGCAGAGATGCAAGAGCCTTAGAGGAGGATGAAGAAATGTGGTTCAATGAAGACGAGGAGGAAGAAGGTGAAGCTGTTGTACCTCCAGTTGAGAAGTCAAAGCAGGAGGATGATTTTCCAGATAGCTATGAAAAATTTATGGAAACTAAAAAAGGTATTTACTCACTTTTGGCTTGTCAGCACCGGAGGTGCTCTGTGCCAGATACGTGGAGTATCGTGTGAACAAACCATTTGCTTGCGCTCAGGAGTAAGCCTACCCCTAAAAGGGCGTTCTGTGTAATTAAGGCATGAATTCCTACCATGTCTTTGCAAGCTAGTTTTAGGATTAAAATAATGAGTTAAATTGCTCCAAGCGTGCACCTCGTTTAAATCACGTTCAGAAGCAAAACTTGGTGTGTACTTGTGTGCGTAACATCCCCCTGCCCGCAGCATCGGGGCCGGTCTCAGTCCGAGTGCTGGCGTGCTTTGGATGAGGTCAGTAGGTGAGCTGTTGATTTAAACTGAACTTAAAAGAAAAAAGAAAAAAAAAAGGTGGCTTCTGTCCTGTGATTATGCTGTGATGTGGCTTGTACTGCGTGGTGTACGGCTGATACTTAAGTGTGAAAATGTTTGTCCCTCAGCGAAGGAGAGTGAAGACAAAGAGAATCTTCCAAAAAGGACTTCAGCTGGGGGATTCAAATTCACTTTTTCCCACTCAGCCAGCGCAGCCAATGGTGCCAACGGTGCAAACAGTAAATCCGTGGCAGCTCAGACGTCACCAGCGAGCTCCAACGGCTCCTCGTCAAAGAACGCGACGCTGACCACGGCGGTGACGGCCGCCAAGGTGGGAGAGCTCGTGCAAAGGCCGCTGTCCTCGCGTAGCACGGCCGAGCCGGGGCCTGAGGCTTTACTGCTTGTAGTGTGGTAGAGTTAGCGTGAGGCTCGAGGCAGCGTTTCTTTTTACTGATAAAGCCAGCCAAAGCCCTGTCCAGTTAAACCCTCGCTAGGTTGGGGGGAGGTTTAAGGAGGAAGTATTAGGTGGGCACAGTTTAATCCCGCATCTTCTGCCTCGTGCAACTGCTCCCACTCCCCGGCTTTAACTGTCCGCTTGCTGCTCGGTGTGTGAGATCTACACACAGGAGACCGGGTTTTTTCTGAATGATGTCACTGCCCTGCTCCTGTCAGGGAATTAATAAGTGGTTTTAAGCAGATGAAATACAGGAAGTAATAATTGCGAGGCCAGATCCAGAGGAGCAAGGAAGTTCCTGTACTTTTTTAATCTTAAGGTGTTCTTGAGCATTCTTGAGACAAATGGGTCTTCGAATGAAAAGGGCATCACCAAGAAACCTTCCGCTGCAGGCTTGTGTGTCCCGGGCGGGCTGGCTGGGGGTTATGTATTGAAATTGCACATTCCTGGGTGTTTTTTTTCAATGTGAGATTTTCTTTTTTTTTTTTTTTCTTTTTTTTTTTCTTTTTTTTTAATAAATTGGCAGGGAAGTCTAGTTGGCCTAGTGGATTATCCTGATGATGAAGATGATGATGAAGAGGAGGAGACATCTCCACGGAAAAGACCTCGTCTGGGTTCATAATTGAAACCAAAACTTTGGAAAAAAAAAAAAACTTTCACTATGGGGTTTCAAATGCTGCAACTGTTTTAAGAGCTAAAAAGGATCTGAATCAGAAAGCTTTCTCCCATGAGTATATAAGATAATACAAGGAGTAGCAAAAGAAACTCAGTATATCAGCTAGAAAGGGTTAGTTCTGTAAACACAAAGCTTCCAGGGAACTTAATATCTTTCTAGTAAATAAGGAGTCTGCCATTCGGGCTGTCAAAAAAATTAAAAAAAAAAAAAAAAAAAAGTGGGTTAGTATTCACAGAACCTGGATGATGGCTTCTCAGCAAGGAAAGTCTCAGGTGTCGGGAGGGCAGGGGGAGGGAAAGGTATGGTAAACACTTTTTTAAAAATATTGCAGGGTTTCCCCAGTGTTTAACAGAACTAGGAAAACAAATCAAGCTTAAATTTTGAACCCAGTAATCTTAATTTTGTAATGGTGCTGTCAGTTGTGTTCTTTTAGCAATGCCTCTTTTAAAAAAATTTTAAGGGAAAACTAACTCTGTTTGCATAAGAACAATCCAGATTTTGGGACCACTAATTGCCAATTAAATCGCATTTCTCATGGTTGGAGGGAGGGACGCTGCAGTTATAGTGCATGTTGAGTTGTTTAAAACAGTGTAAGTTTAATTTGTATTTTTCAAGAGGAGAAAATGGAAGCTGGATTCAAAATGGATGGTTTGCTTGGTTTTTCGATTAGTCATCCAGTAACACCTATGCCAAGGAACGATCGCTTCCAGAAATCTCTGCAGGAGCTGCTTGTGTGGAAGCGGTGCCGTACGCGGCCCGGCCGCCTGGCTCTCGGCTCGGCGCCGTGCGAGATCCCGGACTGGAGTCGCTCTGTGGTGGTCGGTGAGCTGCCTCCCCTCGGAGCAGCAAGCCCGTTTCCTCTTTGCCAGTTTCTGGTGCGTGATCGAGGTGGTAAGAAGAAACACTAACAGGTTTTTCATAGCGATGGATTCAGCGGCGTTTTAACACCAAAGTCACTTCGGACCAAGGCAGAATTCTCACTAACAGAACACCGGTCTTTGAGGCAGAATCAACAAGCAGCACCTGAATCTGGGTGTTAATGCGAAAGCTGCTTTTTAAAAAAAAATAAAAGCACATTCCACAGAGTAGGTAAGCAAACCGTGACAGAAATAGGTGAGTTGATGGCGACTTGGTGGAGGCAAACAGTCCAGGTGTTCTTTTCGAGAGCAACAAGCGAACTGTAAATATTTTAATGTTAGTTTGCCCATGTGTGATCTGAGATCATGATGAAGTGAGAGGAAATTAATGTGTCAGAAACGTTAAAAATACGAAACCAGCTGCAATCCGCCACATAGATCACTCTCGTAATATGTGTTATGGGTCCATTTCTCCTGGAATAGTTTAAACTGAAGCAGTTTCTCTGTTTTGGAGATTTTTGTAGTTAATTTTAATTTTAGCTATTGTTTGGAAAAAGATGGGCTGTCTGTGTAGATACGAAGTATAGTTTTTTCCATAAAACAGAAGTTTATTTTGTATTAAAAATACCACTGTACTTGTTTTACACCATTTGTATACATGTGGTGATATTAATTCTGAACTGTAAAATTCAGGAATTAAAATGTGACCCTGTAATTCCATAATTATTGCTTTTGTTTGGTTTGTTGTACAGGGTAAGTTAACTCAGACTTTTAAATGTGGCCATTTTAGAATCTTTCTTTAAAACGAGCGATCCCTGCAGTTTCACAAGTAACTCCATACCACTAGATGCAATCCCCAAGGGAACGTCTTCCCGAGGCGGAAGCGCAGCCGCTGGACGACGCGTCGTGGGCGTGGACGTGGGGACAGCGGCTTTGCCCGCCACTGGGACTCCTTATTTTTCATCCGTGCGCCAAAAGGGCCTTGTCTGCTCCCGGCCTGGAGGATCCAAGGAAACGTTTGCCGGAGCTGCAGTGTCTCCCGCTGACCGTCATCTGGTTTTCTTCCCGCCGAGTCTTTTCTCTCCCTCGGTAACGATGAGTAACTTCCTCCAGCGCTGCACACGCCACTCGAGTTACGCAGTTCGTGCCTTTTGCTAAACCTGAGGCTGAAAAATTGTGTCACCTGGGCTGCGGACCCGAGTTGTCCTTGGTTCTCCTTAACAGCTCCCCCAAACAAGCTCTCTGAGGGGCTCCGACCGAAGCATGTTAGTCCTTACTCAGTGTTCCCCACCACCCCAGCTCTTCCCTTAACTACTGGCAGGAGCTTTAAAAACACATTCAGACCAACAGGAGTGGTTTTTACAGCAAAAACAAGAATGTCATGCGTTTTTTATAGTTGCTAGAAAAAGACTGTGTAAAGTGGCATTAGATGTCCTGTTTAAAAATAAATAAAAAAAAAAAAACCAACCCAAGAAACCCTACAGTCTCTCTAGAAGGTGATGTGCAAGCGCTTTCTAACTGGCTTGGGGCTGGGGCCGTGCCCCCCTCGAGGCCGTTTCCCCCGTGACCGGGTCTGGGGGTGCTGCCCGTGGGCAGCCCTGGCCCAGTGCCTGGGGTCCCGCCCCTACCACTCTTTTTGGAAAAGAAAAGAACATCTGCCAACATGTTACCAGTTATAAATGCTATTTTAATAAAAAGTTACACAAAACATCAGTTGGTTGGGTGGTTTCTTGTAATGCGACGCGGCTCCGTCGGGACACGGTGTGAAGGATTGCACTGCTCCCTGCTTCGCTGGGTCTGGCGAAGCCAAACCACTAAACAAGATATTAAGCGATGGCTATTTTGCAACTGAAGTGCTCAAAAGCAATCGTTTTTACTTAGAGTCACATTTATAGCAAAACTGGACCGAAGGACTGGGAAGTTGCCCCAAAAGTTTGTAAAACAATGTTGTCCAGAGATGGTAAGTAAATGTCTTGATTTCAAGGTGCATTATCTGTTTCTCACAAATGAGGTGGTCAGAGTTGCACTTCCTTGTGAAATCAGACTTTATTAATAGTAGTTTATCATATTCTAATAAAAGGAACAAAGTTCTATTATTTTAAAAATAAAAAAGTTGAAATTTCTAGCTTGCTCAGAACCGTTCATACAGGAATTAGTTTAACAGAGCTCCCTCTCTACGTTTGGTCTCTATGCTGGCCGTGGCTGAGGCCAGTAGGTTAGGAAAGCTGTGCTGGAGAGCGGCCGTGCTGGCGACCAGGGCCAGGGAGTGAATGAGCTTCCAGCATTCTGGAAAATGGGTGGTTTTAGTGTATTTGAGTGTAATTTTAAATATTCTATAACGTACTGAGTTGCTTGTCTGAAAGTTCTATAAAATTACGTGTAATACTGGAAAACAAATCCATTCAATTATTGATTATATAACTTACTCTAAAAACATACTTATGTTCTTGGGGTCTGCGATGAGCTGCTTAAAATTACCGCTTATTGATAACTTCTTCTTTTAGTTTTTCTGCAAGCATCTTCCTCTTCTGGAGTAATCTCTGCTTCTCTTCTGACATTTCCTAAAAACAAAGTGGAAAAAACACTGCAAGAAACTGTGTGGCTCTCCTGGTAGTTTCCCTGCCTTCTGGTGCTGGCTGCTAACTGCACGCCAGGGCCAGGAGCCGAGTGCCAGCACTCACCAACCCGAGGCTGCAGCAGCCTCCATTCAAGCTCGCTTGCTCTCCGGAATGATTTAAAAAAAAACATTATTACTCTGTTTCTTGACAAGTGGCTCCCAGGATGTGGATGACCAGCTCTTTACATCAATCTGTACTGTACCAATCTTTCTGGGGAGGACTGACCTCAAATTCAACTGGTGCTGCTGGGCTGTTCTGGCAGTTCCCCCATCAATGCTACTTGGGCACATTCTGAGCGTAATAAAACACTCAGCAACTGAAAAATATCCCAGGCAAGAGCAGGTCCTTGCTCTTAAGTAGATGCTCCGTAGAGAAGAGTAATGACCTTTTTTTTTTTTTTTTTTTAAAAACGTAACTATTATCGCATTGTTTTGGGGGGGGGTTTAAGGTCTTCTACTAGTGTCCTCATCTGTGTTGCAAGTTTTCAATCACTTCCTATATAAATGCAGATCAGACGGATTTGAGACAAATGCATGAAGTCATATTAACTATAACAGTGATTAACAAAGCCAGTTTGTTTTTCTGGTAAAGACCTCTACAGTGGTAGAGCTTTATCCCGTTACAGGATTGAGGGGGTTTTATGTCCATACTTTCTTTCCCTCAAAAAAGAATAAAAGAACACACCAAGTTTGTTATCTCTGTAAAATAAGACTTTACGAAAGAAAAATTTTTTTGCCCATTTCTGCTGGGAAAAAAAAATTATCCCAGAGATTAAAGGGAGCCCAAACAGTAGGTCACAGATCAGGAGAAAAACAGCATTTTAGCCATTCATAATTTAATCGTGAGGACTGGATGATACTGAAGCAAAATAATGCTAACTTCATCATTAAAACATGTAGCCTATAAGCTTCTGCAAAAACAGGAACTTGAAAACACTTCCCCGCTGTCTCCCCCACTTGTTTTTTTTATCCTGCTACCTTGACATCTTCACTGAAGTCATCTGTGGTTTCTATAAAATGGCTAGAATGATTAAAATATTTCAATCCTTCACCTCTTTAGGAGATGATCCTTCCTCTTTCTGGTCAGTGTTTGTTGGTAGCGGTATGTTATTTCTTGACTCCTTCTTCATAGCCATCAGCATGTCTCGTTTTTTCTTTAGGTAGTCCTCTCGTTGCTTCAGCTGCTGGTTTTCAAGTTCTGATAAATTCTGGAAATTTATTTTTTTAAAAAACATTTTGTAATTAATTTTTGGTATGCATGTTATGTGAGATAAAAGCATTTGCATCATATTCACCTCCAAAATTACTAGCTGAAAATAAATTCAAGGCGAAGTTTCAAGGCAGAGCTGCCTGCTAAGAAGTTATCACAGGACAACGCTGAATGCGGAATTCTATTCTAAAACTAGAATAAGGATCTGAACTTTATAGAAATTGAAGTGGTGAATACCATAAAATAGTGTTTGCATGCTGGTTTAAAAAGAAAAAAAAACACAACACAGCAAACCCACCTGATGACAATAATAGAAAATACATATTTAAATACATATATATTCTAAATGTAATCCTGCCTTTTCGCATTCTAGCTCTGTATCTGTGGGGTTTTTTCTTGTCTGTTTTAAACTTACAGGTCCTTTCATCCCAGCTTTTTGCGCTGCATTTTCTGAACATTTTCCAGCTGACCTTTTCTTAATGTCTTCTTTCCCTGTGGTACAAGACGGCTGAGGTAAGCTTTCTGGTCCTTTCTGTAATGGGCGTACTGGTCTTGGGCCTTCCCGCGCAGACTTCCGACATTCTTCTAAACAGCAATTTTACATAGAAAAGAATTAGAAAGAATAGAAATACATCAAGTGAAAAAATAAATTCGTGTTTCTTCCAACATCCAGATGCCTCTTGTGATGAAATGGAAAACTCAAGATCATATTTCTCCCCCTTTTATTAATAAAACTCTTTCAGAAAAAACACAGATACTGTATTTGCACTAAGAAAGCAATAAAACAGTGCTTTACATCGGAAGTTACCTCTCCTGCAACGAATTATAACTTGTCAAATCCTTGGAATGTAATTTCATACTTGGTGTTTCAATAGTCAGTCCATGTGGAGCTTGCACTTCCCGTTTCTGTCCCGGGAAGCCGAGCGGGCACGTGCTCAGCAGCTCATGAAGTGCCTTCAGGCGACTCCCAGCACAAGCGTGCCCCGGTTCAGCTTTCAGCTCCGGAGGAAAGAATCAGCAACTACCGGATTGACATGAACTCGTACCGGAGCAGGGGGAAGAGGTGCAAAGCCCTGTGCTGACCCAGCTCGGGTTCTCCTCACTGGAGCTAACCTTGCCCCAGCGTGGGGGACAAACTGGGAACCCCCCAGGTTTGCGACACCGGTGGGGCTCGGCGCCCCGGCTGGGCTGGCTGCCAGGTGCAGCCACGTCACAAAAAAGGCTCCGAGCAACTTCGGGTCTCTGCCGCTCCCTGCCACGGCCCTCGCCTTGTGCCAGGCAACAGCCCTGCACCGTACCCTCCTGGCCTCCAGCTTTTCTCTCGGACAAACGCAGAAGGGTAACCGCCCCCGTACTGATTCCAGCCGTGCCTTCCTGACCTCTGCGGGCACCGAGGGGAGCTCTGCCCTGCAGCCCACTGAACTCCACGCTCACCGAGATGGCATCCTGGTGACCGACGGCGGAGTCAAAGCCTTCCCGGCCACAGGGCTGTAGAGCAGGTACTAAGACTTGACTTGACCTGCAACTACTCCCAAGTAAGGTAACCTGCTGCTCCTACATTTTTATTAAAAATGAAGAGGCTTCTACTGTTTTAAAATATGCCTGAAAATATCCATACAGACACAAGAATAGCGGTAGTGAAATACAACTGTTACTGTGTTCAGTCAGTCTGAGTCTATCCCTAATGCCCGAGGTGATGCAAGTAACTGAATGAAGCTGATTCTAATTCTACAGTGCTGGACCACGGACTTTTGCTCTAATGCCAAGAAATAACTTGCATGAGTATTAAGGTGTGAGTACTCTCCTTGGTCTCTACCAGACCACAGTTACGAGTGGCAAAGCCGGCTCCACTAAAGCTAGTGCAGGATGAACCCACTCAACTGCTTCTTTAAGCTAGAGCAACTAATACACATTTAGCTCTTCAGCATTGCTGCTTTCTTTAGTATAGAAAATTACAAAATAAATAATTGTGAAAAGGCAGGGAGAAAAGCAAAGGAGTAGAAGTGTTATTCCAAATATGGAAAACAAGCCAGGACAGAAGTGTAAACCAAAGTTCAAGTTGAAGAATTTTCATTTTAGTGAAATATGTCTGCTGGAAGTCTTGATGCTCCAAAGAATGTCTTTTTGTGATGGATAGAAGTTCTTAAGAGTTTCTGTGAGAGGTCAGTTAAAATTACTAGAAAAAAAATTCCTCACACTATCGCTGTCTGATTAAAAAACAGGGGAAAGAAACCAACCAAAACACACACTGCATGCCAAACACCTACCCCCTAACCATGCGATGATGGTTAAGGAAAGCTACTTACCAGAAAGCAGTTCTTTGAAATGTGCTGTGTGTATGTAAATTTACACTGCCGTGTCCATATCGCAAACACTCAAGCTGGAGATGTTTGTGCCTTAGCAGTACCTGCAGATGTGATCATAGGACCCTCAGTGTCACTTAACCCACGAATCTGTAAAGATACGGGGAAGAAAAGGGAAGGAGGGTGGATGGTGAATGTACAAATAGACAACGCATCTCAAAGAATGACAGTTACTGGTTTGTAACTTTTTCTTCTCCTCTGAGAACTGTCTGTATGTACATTCACACTGTGGGTGACTAAGCAACAGGTTTTTTCCACATGGACAATTACTTCAGAATCTTCTCAAAATTACAAGCACCCAGGACCACTCCTGCAGATGCTGCGGCCTTCTCATCCACCTGATACATGCAGCTTGGTGTGAACACAAGTGCAACTTTTGAAGTAGCTGCCCTGTGGGTATCTGGAAAGGGAAGTGCACTCCAGGAACACCGGGAAGGTCATTTGCACTCCGAGGTGTTGAGCATGGCCTTTACTATGAAATTCTCCCTTTTGATCTCTCCATACGGCAACAACTTGGGTGGTCAAACTACAAGAGGAATGGTTTTGCAAGCTCTAATCTGCAAACTAATGGCAAGGAGCTCATCGAAGTGAAATTAAGAAAATTGAGGCAACTACCATTAAAGCAGAATTCATTATGCAGGGGAAAACCTTAAGGAGTCCACAAACTGAAATCTGGGGTCTCAAGGCAAAGGGGAAATGGCAAAAGATAATAAAACCGCTGTATATCTACAGGAAGAAAAATGTATAGCAGACTGGAGGGAATGAAAAACAAAGCAAAAAACTACTTCTTTTTCTTGACTCGGTGAACTGGTTCATGCAAGGGCTGTGCTGCTGAGGCGGCCGATACTCCCTAGGTATGGGATTCCCCTCCGTGCTCAGGTCGAGAAAGATGAGCTGTCCTGTTCCTCGGAAACCCAACGCTACGAGCAAGAGCGTGGAGCCAGGGTCTGCGCACAGGTCTGGTGGGCTGTGAGGGCCAGGCACCAGCCGAGGGGAGAGAAGAGAAGAGAAGCTCCTCTGTCACCCAAGAGGGGCACTAACCATTAATGAAAGGTTTTTGCTGTTTCTGTTCCCCGAGTTGTATCTGGCACCAAAAGGAAGCAAGTCAAGCAGAGGATACAATCCCATTATCCAAGACAAACCGTTAGTTTGGAGCTCAGGTTTTGGAAGTAGGCAATAAGAGACTTGTCTGGAGGCTGGTCCTCAGTTCTGGAAGATGATGAATCCCAGTACAGATTCTTCTTGATTCTTGCCACCACTACCCAAAACCACTTTTCTAAAAGGTGATATTGGAGGATAAACTGTGAAAAACTTTGGACAGCTATGCTGCCACAAGATGCCAGTTCTACAAGGATGGAGAAAATTTCCAAGGAGCTCAAGGTTTTGTAGACCTTTCTCTTCTTTGGCATTTAAAGAGCACGGGCAGGCTCAGCACCAGCTGAGCAGGCACACGGACAGCGCAGAAGAGCTGCACTCAGTGCTGAGAAGTCTCGACACCGAACTCCAAGATCTCCTGTCTCTCAAGCCCAGGATTAAGTCCTGCAGACAGAATATTTACAGGAACGTGCCTTCCTCCTGAACCAAGAGAACAGCCACTGCAGGACAGATGTAGTTTGGTGGTGCTGCTGTGAGGGGGCACAACTATGCAAAAAGAAGAGGAGTAAAAGCAAGCTGGGAGAAGAGAAGAATGCGAGTATACCTGCAGGTCTTCTGCATACTTTTGAGGGTAGAAGGGAGAGAAGAGTTCAAACAAATGTAACAAAACCTCAGCTGAAGGACAGAAGGGATAAAAGGAAAAAAAATATATTTAAGAGGTCAGTGACAATTTTTTCATTTTTTTGAAGTTACCTAATGTGAAAGATAATAACCCAGTTCAAAAGAACAGAAGGTCCTACAACCACTTCATCTGTTAATGGCCATCAAATGAAAAAGCACAGAGCAAGTATGCCCCACAGGTACTACCAAGGCGAAAAGTATCCAGCTCAAGTGTCTGTGATATGAAAACATTCAGTGTGAATGCATACAAGGATAAGTACAAGACACCGGGCAGTCTTATTTCCCAAAATTGGAATTATATTCTCAGAAGTGACCTTAGAATATTAAGTTACAAATATTTCAAACTCCTAAGAGAGCAAATCCCACTGAGACGCAACCTGTTTTTGAAGATCACGTACGTATACCTATATACATAGATATGTGTGTGTATATACATACATCCCTTTATGTGTGTGAGCATGTATACACAGATATACATACACAAATCTATATGCTTCTTACCACCCAAGGGTTTTCCTGTTTCCCTGAACAGGTCAGCATGCTTGTGCTTTAGCTGCAACACAAACATACCAAGAGCATCTCCATCACAACCTGTGATTCCTTTTTTTTTTTTCCCTCCCTGTAAAAAGCACTGGGTTGGTCATGCTCTCCATTAAATAATCATCTACAAAACAATGCAGACAATTTTCACTAACTTGGGTAAAGTTCGAGACTACTTAAAACAGCTCTCCTTGGTATTGTGAGTTGGTAAGTGTCACAATTCCACTCAAAAACAAAAACGTAAAATTGAAAATATTAAAATGAGTAACAAAATTCTGAACCAAAGGCAAAAGATTCTGTTTGGTGGTCTGACAATTCAGCTTGAATGAATCTTAACAGTTCATGGTTCGTTCCTTCAGAAACATTTGACTGCTGTCAAGAAATGCTGTACAATTGTAAGTTAAATTTATACTGGCCACAGCACCAGGAGAAAAAGCGTAACTTTGAGTAAATTATTCAAAGTTGCTTACAGGGAATATACTGTCCTTAACAGTAATGGCAGCATAAGCACAGTGCATTGAAAGATGAAAACTGCTGTTAGACTCCTGTATTTCTCCTCCAGTAACAGCACCGAGTAATAAAACAGCTCTGGTTGGAAGGCATTTCTGCAGGCCACCTAGTACAAACACCCTGCTCAAAGCTCCAGAGAGAGGATTACTCGTAGCTTTATCTAGCCAAGTTCTTAAAATCTTGATATGAGTGGACTCTTAAATAATCTGAAAATAATATCATACTGCACACTCAGCATTGCACTTTCCCATAAAATTACCTAATGGAAATTTTGGAATTTCTTCAGAATCATCAGCTCTCTCAGTAGATTCCTTTACTTTTACAGCTTCTCCTGGAAAACTGTAGGTAACATCTGGTGATTTAGGTTTATCACGTGCCTTAAATTAACAAACAAATAAAAGCAAGCATTACATTTCCTGGCACTGTACTTCAGGCATTGAACTGTCAACACAAAGAAAGCTCCCGAAAGAACTTTCAGTCAAAACTGTGTTGTTTGCACTACGTATTGTGTTGCCAAGGTGAACAAAAACAAACCTACTTACTTTGTTTCACTAATAGGAAGGTTCTTACTGGCTTAGAGTCATAAATCAGCATTATTTATTTTAGTTCAAAACCTGTTCCCTCATCAACATTGTTTCCCAGCTACAAATAGATAATGTGGCAGCTTTTTGCCACACTTTGCATGTGACTTTGAAGCAGATGTCTGTCCACCAGAAAAGTACAAACACAATACGAAAACAATATGAACATATACTGAAGTTACCACAGAAATGGAGAAATACTCAGCTGTATGGAAACATCAAGTCTGGATAATCTCTGACACTATTGTTTCACTTCTGCATTCATCTGGGAAACCCTGACAATGCAACCCACCTCTCAAAATAGTCAAGTCAGCTGGGATCTGCCCAGAAAATGTTTATGCTGGTCATCAACCATCTAATTCATGGCAGACCCCCCCCGTCATTCATCAAAATATTAAATTATTGTGTATTAAAACATTCTCTAAAAACATCTTATTGCACAAAAACTATCACTTTCTCTGTCCAGATGAATTTGACTGGGGCTTCTGTAATCTGGCTGGTTTATCAAGAATATTGATATTCTTGGCTGGTCTGTAAGGATTACGATAAACCTGCATAAAACTTGAATTCCTAAAATGAGCCAAAGCTCAAGTCTCCCAGTTGTTTTGTAAGAAAGCCAGTAGAACAGGTGACTTATTTCCTGGAATCTATCGCTGCAATATGGGAAAGAACAGTTTTGTACCCCTTTTCTACCGTGTCGGACACTGGGAGAGGTTTAATTTGGCAGAGTATCCCAGCTGTTCAGACTTGCATTCAGTAGCATAGCTGCTATCTGCACCTATCACAGGTTCCAATTCAGGAGCAGGATTGGAAATAAAGCGTCCACCTCTGTAGTAGCTATATTTGGTCTCCAGGCGGTTTCCTTTGTCAGTTCAGGCTGAAGAAACAGTGCTTTCTCTTTTCAAATTCAGTATGCTCAATTTCTTAATGACAGAAAAGAATAAAAGAGCAATTCTTCTCCCTTTTCAAACATCTTACAACTCCAGCGATTTTTACGTTTCCCCAGTGACAGGGTGTTTTTTTGCCACAATTCCACTGCACTTGATTTCAATTTCAATTTGTTTCTTAGTTGCTGAACAACTGGCAATTTAGACAGTCCCCGTTTACATTGAGTTACCTTTCTAGATGGTTCACTCTGATGGAGACCAAGCGATGTCTAACTTGGAAAGGATTTCTGGTTCCTGGTGATTAGGTTCTGGCAGTATTGTGCAGACTTAATGAACAACTATACTGTCCATCCTTAAAATTCCTGAAGGATTACGAAAATGCTATAATCTTTAAGAAGCTTATACTTTGAAGTCTCTTTGATCTTGACAATATTAGTAATTCATATGTTCTCTGGATCTGAAAGGTTGACATCCCTTGCCAGGATTTCAGAATTCAGCTACTGAAGGGGGAATATGCTTATCGTACGAGCTCCACCAAGCGACTGATGGTTAATGGTCTCATGTGTAGCACTACTGTCATCAAGAAAACCGTAAACAACAAAGCACACCTTTCAAAAAGAAGTGTCAGTAAGACCTTCCTGACAGGCCTGTATTTGCTTAGGATGGTACACAGTGCCTTAAAGTGATACAGTTGACAGCCAGGACAGGAATATCAGAGTATTTCTTAATCATCAGTGTAACAAATCTGGAAAGGTAAAATACTCACTTCTTCAGTCCTTTTCCTTTCTTGCTCTATTTCATATTCTTCCTTTGATTTTCTGCAACACAAAATACAAGTAAACACTCAAGGCATCTTTAGTATCAGTAACTTCTAGGTCAATTCAGCACTGCTTAAATATTTGAGGACTGTCAAAACAATTACAGGAGAAATGTGACTTTGTTGTTGTCCAAAAGACTTCCATAACTTAAATGAAAATGCACTCTTATTAGAAATAAATAATTATGATAAACATATAGAACTCACCATCCTCAGTCCATCATTCCCTGTGCAAAAATAATTGTGTAATCATTTCCAGGGCTTATTATCTATCCCATGTTTCATTTGCTGGTTTAAAGACAGGGAGGGAAGTGTTTCCAGAATGCAGAGGGGAAATAGCATAATATAACCTGAATGGATTAATTTGCTATTATTTATGTTTATATATGTGTGAACTGGGAGTGGAGAAGAATCTACAGGAGTCATACTAGTCCTCACACATCATCTTAGATCATAGCAACAGTCATTGAACACAACTAAGAAGGAAGCTGTAGAAAGCAATAAAGCCTAGTGCAAAAGCAGAATTTGCCTTTCCAAGGCTTTAATGTTTAGGGTGTTCCCCTGACTGGATTACAGCTAGTATGCTCCTGTTCTCCAGAGACACCTAACCCAGGTCTAACTTCAGGTCTACCTGAAGCTTCAGGGGAGAGTGGAAATGATGGGGCTCTTAAAGCTGCACTTCATTCCATGCATCACCAAGACAGTTCATCATGGTGGAGTGGTTCTCTCTCAGTCTTTAAATATTCCTGATCACACCCGCTGTCTAGCACCATTCATTTTCTCTAAAGTAGGATTTTGACAAGAACATTCATGTCATCTGTAAGATGAAGGCCGTTTCCTGGAAAAGGCTGGAAGAGTTAGGCCCTACATACTTTTATTTTAAAATAAAGTACAAAGTAGGACCGATTCATTTTTTTACCTCAGAACCTCCCTCAGTATTTTCATTTCTTCATGTTCAATTTCACTGAATACATCAGAACCCTCTGTCAAACAGTCGGGCAACACACCTATTAAAAAAAAAAAAAAGTGTCAAAGTTTATGCATTACTCTAAAGAAAAGTATTTGTACTCCATTTCGCATCATTCTTCAGGCAGAGAGGAGAAACGAAAAAAAACAAGCAAACACACACAAAAAACCCACTCCACCTAATTCTTTCTCTCTGTAACTGTTGCCAAAAAGATCACATTGCTAGTAGCAAAAGTGCAAAGGTTTCTGAAAGATGAAGGTTTTGACATCTAAGGGTAAAGCATAAGCCATACTCTGCATTGACCATTATATGGTATTTCCTAGACTGCAATTCAGCCATAGCCAGCTGAACCATTTCCAAATTTAGTTGTTGTAAGAAACTTGAAATTTAAAAATTATTCTCTGAAAAAACATGCATGCAGTAAGAAGAAAAAGCAAAATGGTAAAGCTAAAGACATGGAAGAAAGGAGTGGGTAGATGAAAATCCTTTCAGAAACATCTGAGCAGCAGAGCTGGGTGAAAATGGTTTTCTCTTCTTTAAAAGCATGCATGTATTAACATGATGAAGGCCTTCTGCTTTCTGTATGGATTTTTTCATACTCAACTGTACAGTGTGAACTGCAAAGTAAGCACGGCAGATAGTACAGCATCGTTGCTGTGCAAGTAACATAATTCAAATTATCAACATTGTCATTGCTGATGAACTGATGTAGCTGTTAACACTCAAAATTATCACCAGAATTCTATAACAAAAAAACTAAGTCAAGTGGCACAGAAAAATTTAGACAGAAAAACAGAACTGAAAAATCTATTAATTTAAAAAGGAATATAGGCAGCTGTCACGGAGAATACAAGACAAGGATTAAGTATTGAAATCCTAGTCCCAGTAAAATCAACTGAATGTTTTCCATTAACTTGAACTGAACCAGTATTCTATACTCATTTATGAACGGATTACATAGTCATGAAAAGAACGCTAAAAAGATGAAGAGAAACCCCACATTTACCACTTCTTACCATTTCTTTCTTTAATGATTCTAATAGCTTGCAATTGCATTTCAACATTTTTCTGTACCATCATTTTTTTAAATAGTCTAAAATCTTCTGCTGCCAACACTGTTTGCAAAATGGCCTGTGGGAGGGAAGATATGCACAAAATTAAAACCCTTGAGAAATCATAACCATCTCAGTCTGACTGAAATTATATTAAGATTTAAATTCTGTGGAGCATGTTGTTGATACTTATATTTAAATCTCCTATCTGTCTATTTTTCCAGCCATACAAGTTAAGCTAATAGTCAAGAAAATAATTTGATGGTTTATGTCTTTAGATCAACACGTCTGCAATAATATTATCACAAAACCTGGAGGGTTTCCCAGTGTAAGTTTACAACTGCAATTCATTTGACTTCCTGAACAAATGCTAAGCCTGAGTGAGGAATGTGTGCTCTAAAGAAGCTCGTTACACATCTAGGAGAAATGTCAACAAAGCCCAATTTACACTGGCAGCAGAAGCTCCCACTCCCCTGCCTAATATGCCTGAGACAATTCTGAAAGGTATCTTTGAGCAGGTGAAGGGCTGCCTAACCATGCCTTGACTTCAGAACCAATGTTTGTCTAACATATTTTACTGTTTTATTATAAAATCAGAGGAAAACTTTTATTTTATGGAATATGTCTACTGTTTAATCTTTAAGTTTGTCTGCTACTGTCAGACTGAAGACTAACATACAGCTGACAAATACACAAATAAAGGTGGCAGAAACACCTAAGCTTAGAGGTTTGTTTTGGAAAATATGAAGCAGAGAAAATGAATCTCAGAACAGTCTGACGCTACACAAATATCTGTCATTATTTTCAAGATGTGCATTCTTCTGGTCAACGTTCATAATATAAGCAAACACACCAAGTTTTAGAAAATTACAGTTTTAACAAGAAAACTTTTCAAAGTTTCCTTTCCACCCTGCTATATTAGTGCAAAAAAGAAGCTAAAAATTAAACCTATACATTCCTTAACAAAGGAAAATACCTGTGAAGTGTGTGTCTTTGCAAGAGGAGATGAAAAAGCTTCTTGAAATTTCTCTTCATTGATTCCAACTTCTTTAAGATAGTCTTCTAATAATTTTTCAACCTGTAAGAAAGCATAAGCCTTACTTTCTGAGAGGCTTTTCCCTAAGAATCATATGAATTTTTTTCATAATTGTCTATTCTTTTCTGCTGACATTGTCTTTGTAAACTCAGAGGAAAATCATTACAATAGTTATGTCAGGCTTTATTTACTTTCATGATATGTTCAAAATAAACATTTTTATTGCTAAATCTGATTACTACTTAATTTCCAAGAATCTCACTTCTCTACCTTTTCCCCAGACTCCTGGCTAGTATTCTTCATCATTTTTTGCCCTGTAGGTAAAAGGCTTTTTGCCAGTCTGTGTGCCTGAAACCCTTCAGGTCCAGAGCAAAAATGGATGTTGGTCTGCATTTATTCAATTAATGCCTTTTAACGTCAAGTATTAGCAAGCCTTGTTACAAAAAAAGAAAAAAAAATTTAGAAATCTGCATGCATTAGTTTATAAGTGTTTTAAGCATGCTTCAAAAATATCCTGAAGTTTTTTCTGATAATTGAAAGTTAATTCAAAGGATTTACCAGACTCATTAGTGAACAAAATACAAGTTTTACATGTTCTCAGACATCACGCTGTTTGTCATTTTATCTTGACAGAAAATATGAACATTATCAAGCTTATAAGTACAGTGTTTAACTTGCAGATATATTAACTTTAATGAAAAATATGTAACACAGCATAAGATATATGACTGTGTGTTAAAGTTTCTTTTCTACGTATCTGGTGTTTAATCACAAAACTGCATATGACAACTATGACTCAAAGGATTTCTATGTAACACTTGTAACAGGCAATATCAGAAAATTCTAAATAACAAAGATAACACAATTAGGAGTTCATCTAAATACTACTTTAACATTTTAAATTATATTCCTTAGAAATCTACTGCGAATAGTGAATAATGCTCACCAGCGCTTGGTACTCCTGATAAATTTCTGTGTAAGACAACTTACTTTCTTCTTCATCATCAAAAACTGTGTGGGGGAAAAAAAAAAAAAAAACAAAAAAAAACCACACGCATTTTGAAGTTAGTGTACACATCACAAATGAACTTATGCCTTAGAGAGAGATTAGCCTTTACAAAGGAATGTATTTAATCACATGAATATATAGGCCATGAATGACAATATATTTGTCCACACATTCAAGCCAAACATGTACTTTTGGTAATTTAATGTAATTAACTGACATAATTTAATACCAGGAAAATATATCTTCATAAGCAGATTTCTACACAAATTGAGGATTCTGCAGATACGTACACTAAAAATTAAGATTTAATAGAAGTACCATATGGACTTATGTAAAATTGTTCTAAGATGGCAGATGACATACATAAAGCAGGACATTTATCTCCTTCTCCTTGTATTTATAGGAAGGATGTAGCACAGACTGAATTTGATTTTTTTGAAAATTGCCATTCATTTAGCAAGAAGACAAGGTGATACAGGAATATGAGACCCTTCCTGCATAAAAACAGACAACCCCAAAGAGGAAATCTGCTTCAGGTAAGTTATTTTTTACTTGTAGCTATCCTGATTTAGATCAAATGGGCATCTGTATAATACAGGCCACATCATATTCATATAAGTTTGTATTAAGAACTCTTACAGGATATATCAAGCTAATGATCTCTACGCTGCAGAATATATGGAAGAAGCAACAAATAAGCGAAACTGAAAACCAGGCTTTGGGTTTTTTTAATTTACATTTTTTTCATGTCAATAACGAACAGAGGTAATGTAAAAATCTAGCAATTAACGCAGAGGCTTAGAAATAAGACTTCCTCAATCCCCTTCAAGATTAGCCACTCTGTGTTGGACAAGTCACGTCCCATGTGTGTGCTTTGAAGTCATCCGACGAATGGGAATTCTGCTTAAATGGGTGAACGAGTGCCATTTATTCTTCATATATATATGACATCTCTGATGGAAGATGGTACTAATGCGCATAGAATTAGTACAACTTCCACACAAATTTAGGATGACTTTTAGAAAGCATCATTTCCTAGCTGTGACAGCCCTAAGGCAATGTCACTCAGAACCCAGATAAAGTGGGATGCAAGATGGTTGTTCCTAAAACAGAAAGGACTTGGGTCACTTTCTAACAATTTACAGCAACGCAATGACAGAAATCTAATTGAACAGTTCAAGCCCTCTAAATCAGCAAGAGAAACCAGCTTTTTAAATCACATCATCTGGAAAAACAACACTTGCTTTTGTTTCATTTTTGCATTAGAGACATTTCTTTACTGAAGGGATTTAAAAAAATAAAAGCTTTAAAAAGATCTAGAAATAGATTCAAATGGTAGACAACATACTCTAACAAAAGGCAGCAACTATGGCAACTACCACATTACCAAACCCAAGAGGGCGAAGACACTCAGCTGCTTCTGTTGTCTTCTGCATCTCCTTACAGCTCTTGCAGACCCCAACCTTTGCCTTAGTTTCTCTGTTCCCTTCTACCTCCTACTGTTCCTTGCCACCCTGGGCACCCGAAAGAGGGGTGACACAGGGATGTCACTCCTCAGTCAGTGTCCATGCCAGCAGCTAGCCTCACACTGCCAAGGGGATGCTTCCAAGTCCTCCTCCTCCTCCTTCCACAGCTGCAGGACAACATGGAAAGCGGAGTGGAAAGCCTGCACAAACTGCTCTCTGTTTTCAGGCTCTGAACAAAAAAGAGGATGCAGTTCAGTGCCAAGCAAAGCAAGCTACAGTCAGCATCTCCTCTGAGTAGCATTAAGGAGTATTTTGAATGGAGACCTTGGATTTTTCTCAAGTCAGGACTCCTAAATCATGCAGTCATTTTCCTTAAGATTTTGGCACAGGGTTTTTGGTTGCCTGACAGGAACAAAGATCTGAAGAACCACTGTATTAAGATAAGCCAGGGGATCCACATATCCTGGGAGACAAACTCATCATTTTCCTGTTAAAATTTAAAATCTTTGCTAGGACCCCTCAAACAGGATGAGCATTAAGTCAAGTTTGAGTTCTCTGCTAGACTGACTCATTTGACCTCGCAAACAAAATCTGGTAAGCAAACCTGAGGGAACTCTTCTCTTTTTCCCCCCAGCCCTCACTGACTGGTGAGGCAGCTCTGCGCTGGGAGGGAAGGGAGTCACAGGCAACAATATCTGTTTATTCCTTTTTTGTCTTTATCTTCTAGTGCTCAAAACTATTATCAAGCTTATCTATGTCCAAATGATGTTTCAATTAATACCTTGGAATACCTGAATAAAACTGAAAAGCCCTCTTGCCTGAAATACATACCCACGGATTTAACTTCAGTTTCACAGCCACATAAAAGGAAATTAATCAAAACAGGAGAAATTAATGAAGTCCCCAGAAGGATCGAAAGAGAGAGAGCAAGTATCAACAGATAGAAAACCATTAGGATCATTTATAAATTTAAGTGCAAGAACTTGGCCTAAATAACTACAGTTCCAAAATAAACTCCTTGCATACCAATTCCAAAACTCAAATTCTGGTTCTGAGGAATCATAAATTACTGTCAGGTAATCAAAATGTTGCTAATTTGCTGGTTCATCCCAAAGACTGAATGTTTCAAGAACAAAAAGAATTTTGTCATAACAAAATATCTCACTAAAAAAAAAAAAAAAAAGCAATGGAACCAGCACAGTACATTTATAGAAGGGAAAACGCAAAAGCGCAGATAGCTGCAACTAAAACTTCAAATTTCTTTAACTGTTCCTCTTAGCAACTCTAGCGTTGCTGTAACACTTCTTTTTTTTTTTTTTTTTTTCAGTAGCTTCTGAGAGTTGTCCAACAGCACTCTGTAGCACAAATGACACCTTGGAAGATCATTTACTGCAAGTGATTTCTCTACTTTGTTCCTCCAATTTCTTATGTGTAAACAAAGTGGCAGGAAGTGACCATTACATAAGCCTGCCTCACGCTCCATGGAAATTTACAGAGGTACCCTAAATCTTCTTACTGCCAGTAAATTCCCCTCAACCTTCTAGAGAGCAGATCATTGCTCCAGAGAAGGATAATCAATTCCCTCGACTGATAAACCTACACCCTTTGTACGATAACCAAATTCTTGACCTACCTCAAGTTTAGGCAGACTTGCCAAGAGAAAGCTTTCAGTTTAGATTTTTCTAGTGCTTCCTAGCTGTAAAAAGTCTAGCAGCTTTACCTTCCTCATTTCCTAGCATACTGGGGAAAGGTGTACGTCCTCACAACGATCTTGCCTCACGCAAACCTTGGGAAGGGTAGAAACGATTCAGGATAACCAAGAAACAATTTGCTTAAGCTGTGATCTGAATCAGAGCTGCATCTGTTTCACGGAATATGAAATCAAAATTCTTAACAGACCCTAACAAGAACAACTGCACAACAAAGGACACAGCTGGCCTCGCTGAGGCCAACTGTTACAGAAACTGTTCTGGAGCCCACAGCAGCATGGAGTGGAGGAAGGAGTAAGTGGAAGCAGGTAGAATACTTTAAAAGTAAGAATCATTCTACTTGGAGCTTGATGTTAGGAAATCCCTAGAAATAAAATCTATTTGGAAGCCTTAGTTTCATTACTTCAGTATTTTAAACTCTAAATTATTAATGAATCCTACTCCTGGTAGGTGATACTAAAAGAACAGATTTTATTTATAGTAGGTATAGAAAGTTATCCTAAATGAGTCTACAACATGCTTTAAAACTTCTCATGTGTAACTGTCTGCTGGCTAGGATCATGGGCTGTCATGTTCTCAAACATGCTTTTTTTTCAATAACGACAAAAGAAAGCTTCCTTTTTTCTAAAGGACTTAGGTAGTGCTTTCAGACTTGCCCAAATTGTAATTATTTTGCTACCGTAAGGATCCAAATGTTCTCTGGCAGCAGAAAATTTGTCCTGTAAGTAGCAGAACTAATTTAACCAACTCTGTACAGCAGAAAGTCTTTCCTCCTTTTCTCACTACATATACACACCTGTAGAGGTCTCGCTGGGCACCTTTACATGGACCTCCACGTCTACCCCAGCACCCCCTCTCACTGCCTGTACTTCCAGTTTACTCAGGCTGTTCTCCAGATTATTCCATGATTCCTCCAGTTCTTTGTTAAGGAAGAAAACAAACTTTAACTAGAGTTACTTCTGAGCTAAACTCATGCACAGGACCACCTACAAAACATAACAGGTAACCATTAACTTTTTAGTTCTATCATTTTTTGAGAGGTATTAACTTACGGTTTCTTGTCTCTTAACTGCCAATGTTCGTAAAAGGGCAGAGATTTAAATTTGGGGCCTTCTACTCTTCCATCCCACTGGCCAGAAAGGAATTTTAATTGTACTGTCCAGATTCCCAAGGAAAAACACCTAGCTACGGAAAAGTTTTTAAGGCCTCCAACTGCTTTCTAGCCCTGCCAGGGTATTACGCGCCGCAACGAAGAATTTAAGTGTTATGCTGTAAGCTCATGCCATAATCCCCCTGTACGAGCTAATGAACGCTAACTGCCACATCCTGACAAACGGCTGGCTCGGGGGAGACCGGCTTTCCGCGGGCCAGGCACCTCCCCCCTAAATTTGGGGGGAAGGCGCAGCCTAGGGCTATGCCAAGTCTTCCGCGGGGTTCACTCCCGCACGGCGCCCGCGGGCACCGCCACGAACACCGGCCTGACGTGCCGAGCGCTCCCCGCCCGCGCACAGCCCCGGGGCCTGGGCCCGCTGCCCCACCGGGAGAGGCGGAGCCACCCCGGGAAAGGGGCACCGACCCCCGGCGGTGGAGGGTTTGGGGAGGCCGCGGCGGCCCGGCCCGGCCCTGCCCAGCCCCGTCCCGCCGCTCACCCTCGCATTTCTGCTCCATGAACTCCAGGATGGGGATGGACCAGGCGGGCCCCCGCAGGAACCCGGCGATGGTGTCCACCACCCACTCCACGTCGCCTTCCTCCTCTGCCGCCATCGCCGGGGCCGGCAACCGGCGGGGACGCGGCGGCGGGAGCGCCCGCCCGTCACTATGGCAACCGGCGTCACGTAGGCCCCCGCCCCGCCCCGGCTGCGCTTTAATGGCGGCGCTGAGGACGGGCCGGCGGTGCCGCGCTGTGCCGCCTCATCAGCTGCCGGCGCGGAGGGGGGTGCGGGTGACCCACTAGAAACGCGCGGGCCTTAAAAGATGAGACCGGGAACGAGGCTTCCTGCGGGGTAATCGGTTAATGCGGCACCGCGCGCTGTCCCGCACAATGACCGAGAAATTAGGTTTGTTAAAGGCGGGGTACCCTGAGGCGGAGGAGGGGCGTGGGGCGCTTGTGAATGCCTTGGAGGCGTCCCGGGGATAGTTCGGGCCTGCTGATTTAATGGGGGGGAGGGGCGGGCGGGCCCCGTGCCCCAGGAAGGGGCTTAGGGGTCCGGGTGTGCAGCCAGCCGGCTGGCTGGTGGCAGCTGCAGCAACAAAGGTGTGGAGGATGAGGCTGGATGATGAGGGGGAAAAAAAAAAAATAAAATCCTGTTAACCCCTGTTTTAGCATGCACGGAGCACTGTGGCACTGAGTATCAAACAGCAACTCAAACTTCCTCGTTAGCTGTTGTACCTGGTGCTCTAATTCCAGATACCTGCCTGTAAAGCGTTAACCCCCCTCATCAGACCTTTATGAGAATGCAGATACCCCTCAGCATAATTTGTAATTTAGTAATTCTGTAAATACCCTAAGGTGTAAGAATTGGGAAATAATTTACAAGGCACTATGTAAGATGATTTACATTAACACTTAATTTCTTAAGTTTTCTTTCTTAGGACTGGTACTTGTGGACCTGTGTCTTTTTCCCCACTAAAATTCCTCACCTGTTTCACTGCTGAAAGACTGCAAAGTTTTTTGTGATGTTTAAATTTTATTTCCCTCCTCATGTTGGATGACTGCTTCCTTTACTTGTATTACTGTTAAGTAAAAAAAAAACAACAAAAACACAAAAAACCAAAACAAAACCACCCCAAAATTATTTGAAATCTAGTCATCCTTTTTTAATTCTGTCCTCTTCAGAGTTTTTTTTAATGTAAGCAAGGAACAAGTGGTTCAGTGGTCATTCCTGTTAGTTACATCAGGCTTCATCATTCTTACTGCTCAAGAGGAACTTGTAGACATTAAAAAGATACTACCTGCATAAAGATTCAGTGCTGAGTGTAGATTAATTTATTTTCATCTCAAAGGTCAATATTCTATGCTCTCTTCACTGCAGAAAAAATACCTGATCAGCCGTGCTTAACTTCATCATTTTAATAAGACACTGCACTGGAAAGCCTTTTACAGGTCGCTTAACTCCCTTTACGCCATCAGCACTTTCATTTCTACAGCCAATTTTGTGGTCTAAGACTATTAGTAGTATGAAGGTATTACTTGTCTACTATAGAACAGCTATCTCAGATCTGATTGCTCACATAATTAATTCAGGCTTATGTGACTGTAAAGTATGTTCACCTCTTGCATATGCAGTCGGCTATAAATTATTATCTAGGAGTAGCAGCATCATTTTAAGTTTTCTCAGTAGCTGCCAGCAGTCGCTCTGTGTTACGTCAGGTTATGCTAGCTCTACTTGCACTAGCAAAGCCCAATGTTTATATATTGGGTTTTTTTTTCCAAATTCTGTTCTGCCTTCTCTAAAGCCCGCTTGTAATGTTGCACAATTAATGGCTTTAGAAAATAAGTTGCTTTGTGAGTAGTGTTTTGCACCATAAGTTTCTGCACCATAGTAATCTCTTTTTCCCTAGCGTCCCCACCAAGCGTCATGCCCACTGCGCACAGCCCATGCCTAAGGGACCCCTTCCCGCCAGTTGCGTGGGTGTCAAAAACATCAGGTAAGTGGAAGGATGCGTGGCTGCAGGGTGCCCCGACAGTCCTTGTCAGCCGTTCCTCCCACCCATTGCTGTGCTGGCAGGTCCCTCCTGATGCAAAAGAGTGGCAGTAAACAGCCAACATGAAACTGGAAAACTTCAGAAAGTAATCAGGCAGGGCTCAGCACAGAAAATAATGGAGTTTTATAGGTATCTCCTCCTTCGAATTAAGTAGGTAAAAACCCAAAACACAAACGTAGGCTTGATAACTAAAGAGGATCTAACATTCAAATGTGAGTTCTCAAAAAGGGTAGCATGTATTGCAAGACAGAGGGTGTTTTGTACATCATACCAAAGAGCTCACTATGTATACCTCATTTAGCAGAATTAATTTGAAATCTTAGAGTCTCATCATTTCTCTAATTGCTACTGATACTGAGATTATAATGGAGAGGTCATAATGTATAACCTATTTTGTTCTTTGCATCATATGCTTATGTATCAGTGCACGCAGCTGTATTACAGGACATGCCAAAAACATCTTGACGTTTCTTGCTTCGGCTAGCAATAGGTCACACAGCTCTGACACTGAGACAAGTCTGCTTGTTCTTTCAGCGTGGATAATCTTATTTTTCACTTTTTATTTGCTGTGTAAAAATTAAAGCATTTTGTCATGGTTACAAGAAAAATTGCTAGAGAAATGAATAGGAGGGAATTCTGTCTGCTATAATCAAAACCATTTTATCACCTCACATGAAACTGCCCAGTATTACTATATTCTGTTCTTTGATGTGAGGGGGAAGTGTTTTAGTTATTAATAACACAAAAGATAGAGCAGAAAATGCTTTCCTCTGCCTCACAAAAGGGCAATTACTGCTTATTTTTCTGTGTTCTCTGTACAAGTTACTCTATCAGATATTTTGACGTACTCTTGCTTCATTGCTTTATATATATGACAAGCTAATTTTGTCAAGCCTTTCCAGTCTCTGCATACCAGTGTGTCAGTACATAATTTGCTTCACCACCAGTGGGTTCCACTCATATGCATAATGCAGCAAATCACAAAGCCCAAAGTATTTTTTCTTCAGTCTCTCCTTTACAAAATAATTCCTGCACTAATAGCTAGATTATTTTTTAATTTCCCGCAAGTATTTGGGAAGTATGCTAGTATATAATTTCTGTTACTTTATTAATGCCTCCTAAAATATATTTCTTACCTTAATTAAGTATAAAATTAAGCTTATAAACTATTCCTTTTTTGTGTGTCTTTAGAACAGAAATACTGAATTTATCAGTCTATGAACATTTTACTGGATTGCATCTCATCAGTGTAACTGAAGCCTGCATTAAGGGACTAGCCTAACTCCTCTGGCATCAAAACACAAGATTACAGTAGCAGCACAAATTATAAATATTTTCCTCTGGAAAACTGGCCTTGAAAAAAGCACATAAGATCAAGAGGAAATCAGTTCTGCTGGCTGTTCTGACTGAATCTTGACATGTCTTGTGCTGTCTTTCTGTCTGCACTTAGACCTATAGCAGAATAATTTGGAAAGGTGAGATTACAATATCTTGACAATACCTGACTTCTTATTAGTAAATGCCATCGTTGATCTGTTACTGTATTTTGAAATGTATCTTTGATTTTTTTTTTTTTTTTAATCCAATCTCTCTTCTTTTATTAGGCACTGTTTCACAGTATTTGTTTCACTATTGTGTATATACTGGCCCTAAGGATATTTGTAGGATAGGCAGTCTGGGTGTTACCTGTGCTAGTTTTGATATTTGAAAAAGCTGTAAGTATATCCATGCACTTAATTTTTAGTTTATTGCAGATAGCCAAAACTAATTAATTTGAAAAGTAAAATAAAAAAGAGGCAAAAAGTAAGGCAGGTAAGCTTTTAGCTATTGGCAAAGCAAGGTTAGTTTTTACATCACCTTTAATTTCTTCCTTTTAGTCTTTTCAATATGGATAATTTTGTTAATGTTTGAGGAATTTTGAGGATATTGGCAAAGGTGCAATATCTAGATTTACAATTAATAGTAAACAGTCTTACTACTTTTTTGTTTAGGCTTTAATTATTCCACCCCCCTAATTTGCAATATCTAATAAATAGTCTTACAGTTGTAACTGTAAATATTTTCACCTTAGTAAACCTAATACAACTCTTCTGATTTGTTTTTATAAATTTTACTTTGGGAGGGATTTTTTTAGGGAATAATTATATCTCTGAAAGGAAATTCCAGTCTCGTTTTATAAATCTGATCTCAAAGACAAACTCTGATCTCAAGCTATCTTCTGGAAAACTGTGATGCAAAGTCCTTTTTCTCCATGGAGACTATGGGCCTGCAGGACAGGAGCAGACCCTGAGAAGCTGTAGTGCACTCCACTTTTTCTGTGCAGCAAAGGTATATGGAGACTGTCCTTGACATGACTGTATTTAACTGGTTCTTCAAAACTTCTAATAAAAGAGATTCTGTAACCTTCCCTGTATCCAGTTATTCCTACTAGACCCACAAATGTGGAGCTATTAAATTTCATGGAAAGGCTATGGGAACACAGTGTATCTTTAACAATGTGGGGAAAAAAGGCATGTCATATGCTGTATTTAAAATGTATGAAGTACTGTGATGTTCTCCTGTGTTTAAACAATTTTAAATAGGTTTCAAGTTCATCTCAGGGTTTGGTAAGGCCTCTGCATTTGTGATGTTCATAAATTTTTAAGCTGTTGGTTTTACTCCAGCAAAACACAAACAGTTCTGCAAACTGCTGGCTAGAACATTTATTCATATTCATATGTCATGGGAAAATGGGCAGAGCTTCTCCCCTCAGCGGGGTACCTCGCTCCCTTGAATATTAGTTTGTACGGTTAAGCCCCATGACTGCAAGCTTGCTTGCTCAGACTGATGTGCTTATGTGCGTGCGCTTTCTCTTCACCTTCTGACCCCTCCAGAGAAAAGCAGCCTGAAGTCAGTAGCCAGACGATTAAAGAGTAGCACATTTCTTTTGTCTGGGAACTCAGTCAAAATTGGTTTCCTCGCTATCCAGCTGCAAAATATTTACTATGAGAAAAAAGAAACTGTGGGACTCTGTTTTATGGCAGCAAGCCTGCTCTTCCAAAAGAATCTATATAAATATAAAACAGCAGAAAAAATATCTACCAAACAGTGTCGTCTTGCATGTATTTTGATTCACAGGGCAAACATTATGGTCAGAGCTAAAGCTCTCTATCCTGTTTATCGTATATAGGTCTCACATGAATGTCAACATACTTATTCCCTGGCAATTCCTTGCACATATTTTTCTTTTTTTTTCCCCCCTACATGACAGCATGTGGAAAAACATACTAAAAATGTAGGTTCATATATTTATTCTTCTTTATTTTTCACCAGGAGGAAATTGAGTATGTTCTAGCAAGTGTGGGTGAGGGTTTATGTGCACAATTTAATATGCACTTAGGAAAGTGCTTTGTATTCAGCAGTCCTTACATAAAATGTTTAATTAAGCTGCCATTATCAGTAAGTTTGTACAACCCAGTGTGCCTCTGGCACCTCATTTAACACATTCTGATTTTTCCCCAGTAATATTGTGCAATCTAATAGGCGGAGTTAAACGTGACTTTTGCATAAAAGGTCAAAAGTTAAAATACTAATTAGTCTGGGTTTATTTGCAGTTACTTATTCACGGGGGGGATTTTTGTCAAACATGGTATACTTTAGTGACTTCATTGTACTTTAGTCGTAGCTAAAATAGAAGTGAATTTGGTTCTAAGGAATGCAAACACATTGAAGAAGTGCTTAAAGTCAAATAAGGAATAAAGTTATCTTACTTTTCCTCCCCTTAAGGATATTGAACTCCTGCAGGAATTTCTAAAGATCTTCCTATTTGGGTCATTTTCTTTCATTTTATAAAGCTTGTCTTTTCTCTTGTGACTTGAATGTTTTACACAACTGTAAGGCTGTTTCACTAGAATTCATCCTGCGTCAGAAGCCATTCCTATCTCTGCTCTTCCAAGAGCAGGGCGGGTACCAAACAGATTCAGGAGCGTCACTGTCCAGCCAATGTTTCTTTTTTGTCCCAGGGCAGAGCAAGCCAACATGAGAGCCCTGTTAGAGGTGCCAGTTCTCCTTTGGTGCTCGCTTATCCACACCCTCCTGGTGCTGGGATGCTGAAGAGGAAACCAAAACTGATTTCCACGATTAGCATACGGTTTGGAGTAGTAACTCAGCTCCTTACTTACTCCCTACGAAATCTGTGCATAAGCCCAAAAGAAGGATTTAATAGAGACCCAAAAATATTATTAACACAGTCCCTGTTCTCTTTTATCCTGTCATATTTTTAACTGTCTTCTCCAACAAAAATGTCAGACATAACAATATTTTTAATAAAAATGAGCAGACTGGTTTATTACTAAGAAACTACCTGACCCTGCTGACTCCAACTCTAACTCTATTTTTAAGTCATTGTCATTCATATTTTAAGCTTTTCATATAATGATAATAATGCTTTTTAGCTAAATTATCCACTCTTAAAAGCATCCAACATCTAATGCTTTCACCTTACAATTTGTGGAAGAGACACTAAAAAGTACAAGATTACTTATTTCTTCCCTCTTTCAGATTTTTTCATTTATATACTTGCCACAAACTGTAAACCATGCTTATTTTTACTCACACATTTATCTAAAAGTCTATCCATACATTTGATTTCACAATTTTCCCCAAGCAAATTTTGCTCTTCGTTTACCAAAAATAGGATTTATTCACATATATACATGTATACTTTTCATAGGAATCTTGTCAACACATTTACTAAGTATTTCAGTAGTATTTTAGTAATTGCACTAGTGCTTTTACCATTAATTTTTCTGTGGTGTCTGCACATTTTGAATTCTAAAAAGCCTTGCAATGATTTAGATTTTTCTGTCCAATTTCAGTTGATTGTTATTGACGGAAAACAAACTAGGGCAAGGTGAATGCTGTGGTTTGATTTGAAGCCTATGAGCTTTGTTATTCTAATCTCTTCTGCCATAGAGTTCTGCAGCTATAATCAGGTTAAAAAAAAAAAAAAAAAAAAGCCCTGTCACCTTAATTTTGAAGTAGACAGTTCCATTGCACCACAGAAGGTAGCATGGCAAGCATGTGGATTATGCAATGGTAATGATAAGGGTAGGAGATGGTTAGAAACCCAGAGCAAAATGCTGAAATGCACTGGCCGCTGCAGAACGTGAGCGTGTTAGTTATTCACCCAGTTGTTCCCTGTGTATGACAGAAATGGAAATCCTCTGAAATAACTAATGAATTCTGTTACTACGGTTACTGCAGTTGTTACCATCTGAATACATGAAATTTTTTAATAGACTATACAAATAAAGAGCAAGTCAGAGAATGATAGCTCAAAATAAGCCATTTCTCTGGCTAGCTCTCCCCTCTCTATTCCCCCTTCCTCCCTACAGACAATATTGTGATGGCAAAATGGCCACCCTACTGTTTTGGGAAATTGTGCAAGTGACAAAAGCTGACATACACATAAATGTACAAATTTCTAACATGCTCCAGTGCTGGAAGATTTAAGAATTATAACAATTTAAAACATTGCTCTAGACTGTTTATGTCACGTGTTCAGAGGAACTGAAGGGCCTTTAAAGCAACAACCTTTAGACCACAGGTTACCTGGGTCTGGTCCTCACTTTCAGCTGATACTTGTTTATACAACATCAGATAGGTCCAGCAGGAAACACCCAGCCAAGGACAGTCAATGGCCTAGCAGCTAGGTTACACAAAAGGTATGAGATGTGGCTGTTCAAAGTCCCTGGACTAAATCAGGAAAACCATTTTCCTACAGCTTTGGAATTGGTTGTTACCACTAGGATAGGATCTCCCATAAGAAGATAAGAACCTGGTAAGAAACTCCATCCTAAAGCAGAGAAAACTTTGCTGCAGTTTAATCTAAATTGAAGATACCAATTAAATAAATTGTTTCAATGGAAAATTAAGAAATGGCCCTCTGAAATGTCAAAGGGCTCTTCTGACTAGTGCTGGCAGCCATGAGAATGGAGGGGAAAAGGGATGGAAGCTGGCTTGTGAAATTACAGCCAGAGGCAAAGAGTGGAACAAAAGAGTAGTTCACCCTGGGGTTGTGACACTTTGCTGTTTTACAAATCAGGCAAAATTTCCAAGGTTAATGCTTTCACTGCTTTACACTATTGCCATATTTCAATCTAAAAGTTTAAAAACCTGTGTAATCACGGCCAAGTCTAAATTCCAGAAAGACACATGGATGAGGCTGACTGCTATTGTAATAGTTCTAAGCATTCTGAAGTGTTTTCTTATGAGCAGCACCTCTTTCTTGCAAGGGTTACACTTGGTCTCATTGTTCAGGCAGTAATTGATCCCAGGCATTCTCAAAACTGGAAAATGTTCCCTCATGACTCTTCATTCTTAATTACAAATTAAGACACGACCCCTTATTAGACTACACGTGGAAGAGTTTCCCTGGCATTCGGAAGTTCAGAAGTGTCTTCCACTGTCCCGCTGTAGCCAGGAAGGCTGTCAGCACATCGCTGCTGATGCCACAAAGTGTTGAAGCTATTGCCAATAAAAACAGCCTCATGATCTGGTCTGAGTGTTGATATTACACAAGCAGAAGCAGCATCTTCTGGGTTCACACTAACATAGTCAGGAAAAGTTTGTAGCATGCAGGAAGGTATCTAGTGGTCTTAAAGGAATTTCTGACATTGATTAGTAATATTTCACTCCATGCTTTCAGCTGCTGTAAAATAGCAGTGTAAATAGTGTATAGCTTCTCTATGAGATAATACTGTATTTCAGTCTCAACAGCAATTTAATGTAATCAGTATAATTAGATTAGGATTGATTATTGTGTAATGGGTTACAGTCAAGGCCTCTGAAGATAGCTCTGACTGGAGTTTTGCCATTTTCCTTTTAAATTTGAACATAAATCCTGAGCACACGTATACCATCTGTGATTTTTAAAAAGCATTTTGAATTTAAAATAGGATGTTTTTTCTCACAAAGTGCTGTTTCTTTCGGCACGAATTTGACTGAGACAGAGAATCTGCTTTTCTCTGCCATAGGAAAAGCTGTCAGAGTGTGCCAGGAGAGAGACAGTTAGCTACTGCCTCTGGGAATTCAGACACTGAAAAATCACAGGTCCATCCTGAATCTAGTGGAAACAGGATGATACTGACCCAGAGTATTCAAAATGTTTTGCTGGTGTTAATAAAAATTTTAAAAAAGAATCCTGAGTTCACATAGCAACTGTATATTTATTTATTCATGGCATCATTTCTCCAACAGAGTTGGATATTTGACTCAGTTTTGGGAAGAAATCTTCTCTGAAGGTCAGCACACAAATTTTTTGACATAGCACTTTGGATATAGCAGTCTTTGGATATAGCACAGTATAATGGTTCAATATCAGTCAGCATTTTGTCAAATTCTGATGATTTATTAATTTTGACATT